GTGAGAATTACTAGAGATGGCATATTAATCCACCCATCCCATTTGATGGCCTGTCTATTCTAAGACACATACCTGTACTCCTGAGGTTGTCAATTTAATACAGTGTTAGGTAACACTCCAAAGAGATCCAGCCATTTGATGACAAATGGATTTCCAAATGGTATCTCATTGGAATCTCTTGAATATCATTCCTTCTTACTTCTTTGTAGACCAGCTCATTATTAACAGTGCAAGCGTGATCTCCTCTCAACTTCATTTTCCAGCTTTTCTCAGTTCCTGTATTTCAGCCACACTGCTTTTCTACTTAGCCTCTATCTGTACTACAATTAATTCCAATTGTATCAGTGTACTAAAATTGGGACATATCTTTTTGCTCAAGATAATCATGTTGAAAGGCACTTCTTTAATCATTTGAATGTTCTTGATTTTCTTTCACCTATCTTAAGGCATTATCATGGTGGCTCTTTTCCAGACTCCTCTTTAATCAGCATTTTGAATCAGGCAGCAAGATTTTATCAGTGTGATCCCAGAGGGCACTACTTCAGCTGAGCAAACAAATCTGTTTGAACAGTTCCCTTTCAAGAAATGCTCCCTTCAAACATCTTAAAATCTTCCTACATATCTCAAGAGCCATGCATTCTTCATTATTCTCACAGAGATAAGAATAACCATTTGAGTTTACCTCAGCCCTTGGGTTTTTTTAAGCATCTTTCCTCCTTTGTTTGGTGGAGGCATCTTCAACCTATTTCACCAAAAAGTTCATTCAACATTACCATTATTGTTGAGACAAAGAACAATCAGTGGACTCCAAGCCGACATCATCAGGATATTTTTAAGCTCAAATTTATGTTCTATATGCTTGCAAGTTACAGTTTGAGATCTATTCTCACAAATGGGCTCTATTTTTATTAAAGGTTCACAATATTAGAGTTCTTGGATTCTTAGCTGAATCTCTCATCTGATTTATTTTTTCTCCTCTTTCAGCCCTTCTGACTCCTAGGGTAAGTATTCTAACCCTTTTTGCAGCCCTTTCCATGTCAGCTCTTTTTCTTCTGGATTTCATTTCCTTGTTAGCTCCACCATCCATTTCCCTTATGCACTTAGTTTCCTACATTGCTTCTCCATATTTTCTTCCTCTGTGTTGTGCTTGCCCATGTTTCAAATGTCAGTGACTGGCTCTTTAATTGCTAAGCCAATACTGCCACCATGAAGACAGGAAGTACACAGGTTCCCTGAATTACCCTACACAAGCTTTGTTTGGTGCACACCTGCTTTTTCACCCCTATTCCATCACACCTGTCCCAACTCTTCTTCAGCACCACATCACCTGAAACCTCCTCCATTATTTCCAAAGTGTGAGGGTGTATCTAGGATATCTAGGAATACTTTTCCCCCTGCTTTTCCACACTAACACACATTCTGTTTCAGTGCCATGCCTCAGTGCACTAATCACCTCGATGACTATTGAACTCTTATCTCCCTATTCCCACTGTTCACAAAATAAAAGCAAGTAATAAAAGCAAAAGTTTCTGACCAGCTTGACCACTTAGTTCTTCCTTTTTTCTTGCCTTTGTGTCTGGCTGTTTGGGTTTTTTTGTTTGTTTGTTTGTTTTTTTTTTGCTTTAAGAAAATCCAAAATAAAAAAAAACAAAAATAAACCACAAACAAATCAACCCAAAATTTTCTGCCTAGGTCACCTTTCTTCCCTCCCAGAGAAGTGCATCACTTGTGGTCTGTGGGAGGGAGCATTCCCATCTGGACAAGCTGCATAAAGCAGCACTGTAGTTAAAAATTGTGATTTCTTTCCAGAAATTGATTCGTATAGGAATGAATAATGTAAATATTACAGCTAAGCCTGAGACACAAGAGTCAAACAACCTACTACTGAATCAACTAGTTCTTTCAGAACAACAATCATGTTTAAAATTATTACAAATGTTTTTCTTTTCTTAGAACAGATCTGGCCTAGCAGACTGTCCTTTAGTTTGAGTGTTTGAACATGGCACGGAACAGATAAAAACAATAAAACATGGGATTGCTCAACTGAAAATTTTAATGTGTCTACATACTTCTGTATAATTCAGGTTGATTTATCCAGATCATCACCGGGTGGTAGTATTAAACTGTGCGTAAAACTCGTCTGTTGGAATATTTGAATATTCTTCCTCTTTAAGGTAAATGTTCCTAGAAATAAATACATTTTTTAAAAGCCATTAGTAAGTATTTTCTTGCTATTATTCAGAAGTAGCTTGAGAAACCTAAAAAATATGTAATGTATTAACACCCATAAATGTTCATATATTATTAGAAATGGAATTTAATGTAACTAGAACTTGTTCTGCAAAATAAATGCCACATCTCAATATAACAAACTTAGCTTTTTCTTCCTGAAATATCTCTCAAAAAATCTCAACAGTAAAAAAGCCTGAATTAACACAATTCCATTGTTTTCATAAGAAGAAGGCATCATGTATTGGAAATTCATTTGCAGGAGGTGTGTATGAACCTGAGAGTGGCTCAGTTGGTCAGGGCATGGTGCTAATAATGCCAAGGTCACAGGTTCAATCTCTATACAGGCTATTCATTTAAGAGCCAGACTTGATGACCCTTCTAATTTGAGGTCCCTTCCAACTCTGACTATTCTGTGATTCTGTATTTATGCCCTCCTGCTAAAAAAAAAGGAAAAAAAAAAGGAACTGGAAAAATAGAACACCAAACCATTACATTTGTTTTTCTTTTCCTGCATGTATTATCTTCCTCCTTTCCCATAAGAGCAGACACAAGAACTGCCCATCAAGACATATCCAGTGGTTAGTTAAAGAATCACCTAGTTCTGTCATAGATAATGGAAATGCTGTTTGTGTTCCTAGCTTAACCCTGAGCTATCAGAAACTGGAAGTTCTACTGGTAGTTCATCCTTTTTTGCTTCAGAAAACTAAGATAAATTAAAGAAATATGTACTGGTTTTCACCTGACAAATTTTCTGCATAGCTAATTATATTTATACACTATTTCGCCATCTATATAAACAGTCTGTTGTCAGTGGAACGATTTTAAGAATTCCAGATCCTAATTCATTCAAGTCAGTCAGTAACACTCAAAACCTACTCTTTGAAGATTGATTAAACAATACTGGAAAACACACTTCAGGCAAATCGTTGATTTTTTAAAAGCATGAACTTGTAACAAGTGTATTAAAAAAGTTACAAACAGAACAAGTGAAAAAAGCTCTTTGAAAGCCAAGCTATTGGGTTAATAACGATAAAGAGGTTTTTTTATTTGAACAACGCTGGTTTGGTACTTACTTTGCTTTTTGCTCCTGAGAGAGCACTGCGTTCATGACATCTAAACCTCGGCGCTGTTCCTGATTCTGCCGCTGCTGGCGCCGCTCCCAAAGCAGCTGGGCTCTTGCAGCCTGTAGACGCTGTCTGTCCCATTCAGCATCTCTTTGGCGTTCCTGCTCTCTTTCTCTCTACAGGAGTGAGAAAAAGGCTTCATTTTCTCTCTTTCAAAGATGGAACTGTATATAAAGTCTCATGGGTAAGTTCATCCAAACAAACTTGTTTGCCTTTATTGAACACTAGGGGTAGCATTTGAAATGGGGACTATGGAGCAAGGATTTCTAAACGAGGCAGAAGCAAGATTCGGCCAATGAAAGAGCTATTTTTTTCTCTCTGTAAAAACCCAGAGTAGCAAGACAGATTTTTTATTATTCTTGTTAGCAAGAGTTGAAACTTGTTGAGGCAAGAAGTGCACAGACATCAGTATGGATTATAAGATGGCTAATTCAGTATAATAGGGGAGCCACAAACTCCATGTGAGTAGAAACTGGTTTTTTCCTCTGACATCCCATTGAACAGAATCAAAAAAATCAGGCCTACAAAAAACTTACTTTTCTTGGTTGTACTCATTTTCAGCCAGCCTAATGACTTGAATGAGTTCATTTCAGAATAATAAGAGAGGCAGGAAAATGACAATTCTACCTTCAGCTTTAATAACAGTACTAGGTGAGATATAGTATAGCCTACAGTATTGTGAGGACTAAAAGACAAAATCTAATACTATTCTTTAGCTGTCATAAATGCAGCCTCTGCAGTGAGGGAGGCAAGTCACTTCCTACTTCACAATATCTAAGCCTGGACACTCTTGACTTCATAGGAGAGTTCTAGTCTGTCTTCATTTTGACTGCCTGCTTCTATATTCCTCTAGAGCAGCAACGATTACCATTGAAATTCTACTTTACAGCATGGCTCATAGTTGTGTGGGACAGTAGAAATGAAACTCCATTACATTCTTACATTCATGTACTTTTAGGCCTCTGAAATATGTATGAGCAAGGTCACTGGACCTGCTCAATTTACCTTGGATTACCCTTACGCATGAGAATACTGCTTTAGCCTGCCCTGCTTTCACCTTCAGCTCCTGGATCTTCTTCCCCTATGGAGCAGCCCACTCCTTGCAGGCAGCTTGTGCACTCTCAGGTCCTGAACTGCACCATGAAGCCTGGGTCTTGGGCTGGGCAGGACTTTACTGCTCAGCTGGAGCATCGTGGACCATGCCCTAAGATCCCCTCGGCCCTGGGGTCCTCAGCAACCTTCCTCCCAGTCCAAGTCCAGGGCTCCAGCGTACTCCATGACATCTCCCAGGTGCTTCAGATGTACTGTGTGCAGTTAGACTGATTAAAGTTTGGGTAAAGTGTAGATCAATGGAAAACAGTCTCATACTGGCATGTCCAGGGCAAAGAATAGTATTTTTCCTCTACAAATATTGTCTATAGTATTATTACAAGCAAGAAAACAGAAAATACATGAAAACGCATGTGAGCTTAAATACCAGTTTCTCCACAGCTTGCTCCTTTTGAAATTCACGAATTGCCATGAGCTGCTCCTGATTCATTCCCTTCCATCTATTCACGAGCACATTATGTTTACCCCAGGGACCGATTGCTTGGTTAGGGTTTTCAGAAAGGAAGTCTCCTCGAAGGAGGCAGGTAATTTCATCCATGTCATCTTTCATTTTCTGAGCCTTTTCCAATTCATTTTTACGATCTAGTTCAGCAGCCTAAATTCAATGGAAAGAGAGAGGTGATGTTTTTTCCAACAGAAATATGAACTAAGGGGTGAAAAAATGTTAACACATCATAACAGATGCCTTTCCAACCTGAATATAGTTGTCAAAAACATCACATACAAATACTGTGATAGTTGTCTTATTGGCCAAGATCAAAAGCCTAATATCAAACAATTCTTTAATGTTGTCATTCACATATAGCAAGTAACTGGGGAAAAAAGACCTTTGTTTTATAAGAAAACACAGAATTAAATAAAAAATAATTCCACATTTATCCCCAAGTAAATAACCAGTATATATTTGGCAGACAGACATAATATGGAAGAAATTTACAATAAAATTTACAATCTGGAATCATGAGCCTTGATTTATATATTACATGCTGAATCTAGGTGAAGAGCATGGGTAAACCCTCAAAACAGACAGACAAGAGATGTACAATTAAAGTCTGAAGATGCAGCCTTGATTCTCTTTGCTGATACAAAATGCAAATTTGAATCATATTACGTGAATGTATCTGAAATACTGGAGATCACAGTATGCATTTTCTATGGAAATCATTGCTCCTAATGTTCACTACAAGGCACAGTCTCCTATTCACAGGAAATTTTCCTCTTACAATACTCCAGAAACAAAATATAATGATATTATACTGAACATAATTACCTTTCAAAGAACAATTAGACTATGTAAACTAATCTGAAGTAGAATGATAATGCTATGCATTTTCCTATTCTAATACTGTCTCATTCTTCTGTAATGCATAAACTAATCTATCTGGAAAAATGCCTGATTCCAACTTCCAGTGAACAGAGGACAGGAAACTTCCTGCTTACAAGGGCACACAGAGCACAGGCTGCCAGACCTGTCTCTCTTTATCTGCCTATTTTGACTGTTACAGATCAGTAGGTGATTCTGTCTCCACTTTGACCAAGATGTGCTGTTAAAAATAATCACTGCCTTAAGCATATTCACTTATGTAGAACAGCACATACTTTCCTTGCTGATCAGTAGCTCAATGGTTGGCACACACACATTGGCAAATCAGGACAGATGAAACGGATCAGGACAAATGAAAACAGAAAGGTTTTCCATTAAGAAAGAGCAGGTGAAGTCTTCTGTGCCATATAAAGGAAAGTTGAACATGAGTAGGCAGAATAACTAGAAGATAAAAACAACTGAGAATGACATGACTACAGACGTGTGAGAACTTGTTCCTCTGCACATGTTAAGGAAAAGAATCGTAATTGAGCAAGCAGGGTGATCTATGCTACCAGAGGAGACTGCTAAACTGGAATTATCTCGACATTTGTAGTTACAGACTTTGAGTCTGGATAACAGTGGTTGTCCCAAACATCAGGCCAGAAGACTGCCAGTGAGTGACTTGTGTTTGCTCCAAGGAAACATGAAAAACCACCACAGTGATGGGGCAGAAGAAACAACAACTATGTACCATATCCTAGATTAATAAATTCCTTGGCTGGAAACAGCCTTGTGGTTTCCATTAAAATAACAGAAGTATCTGATGCACAAAGAAAGTAATAAAAGATGAATTAATTTTTTTTAATTATCCATTAGCTAAGCCATAATTCAACTTAGACAATGCTGAAAACCTCATATTTAGAGACGTCTATACCCAACAGGTACATCAACTACAGAGCAAAAAAATAAATGCCTACTTTTACACAAATGGAAAACCTCAGGCAAATCAAGATTCATGTGACAAACATCAACTTCAGATCTAGGAATCACTGTCATCACAACATGAAATACAGCAGCAATTAAAAGCCACTTTTCCATCTCAGATATGAGTATGATTTTACCAGGTTAAAGAAATTTTTAAAATTCAAAATGTATTTTCCTGATTTTTTTTTTTTCTCAGAAAAGAGTAAATAAATACCTGAAAGGAACTATGACATGACAATTTTTAAGACCCAAATGCCCAAAGATATTCAATCATCCAATATTTTTGGAACACTGAACCAGAACATCTGGCTATGTACTTTCCTCTTAGTAATACTATGAATCAAGCAATTATTTGTACTTTCAAAAAAGCTCCAGAGTAAATCACATTTAACAGAAAATAATTTTGAATGGATCTCACATAATTGCTGGCCTTGAAGCTTAAAATGTGCAATTATTATTTAGATCACTTTCTTAATGTCACTCCACTGCAATCTAGCAACAGATCAAGGCACTTCGACACTGTAACTCAGATTTCTCTTTGAGAGGGAGAGCATAAGATTTCCAAGCTGCCTGAGAATCTTACAGGAGGAAACTGCCAGCTCAATGCATAGCCATGCATGTCACACTACTATGCCATGATTAATGACAAGAAAGATTTTAAACTCTGGAAACACAACAGGTTTATCTCGTTCAGTCAAAGTCCTGCTGGCTTTACTATTTCTGATGCAGGCCAGGTGCCACTGGCCTCTTGTCTACCTGGGCACAGCTGGCTCATGTTCAGCCACTGTCACCAGCACTCCAGGGCCTTTCATGTCAGGCACTTCCCAGCCACTGTCCCCATCTTGGAGCTGTAGGGGATTGCTGTGACCCAAGTGCAAAATCCAGAACTTGGCCTTGTTGAAACTCAGACCACTGGCCCAGGCCCATTATTCCAGCCTGTCCAGATCCCTCTGCAGAGCCTTCCTACCTTCCAGAAGACTTGGTGCCATCTACAAAGTGCTTCAATCCCCTTGTCCAGGTCATTGTTGACCCCAAGCTGACCCCAGTTCTGAGCCTTGGGAACACCATTGGTTCTGGCCCCAGCTCCATTCCCCACCACTCTCTGAGCCCAGACATCCAGCCAGTCTTTTACCCACTGAACAGTGTGTGTCCCTGTCCAAGCAATGAGGAAAATGCTGTGGAAAAGTGTCAAAGGCTTTCCTAAAGTCCAGTCAGACACATCCATTGAGGGGGTCACTCTGTCCCAGGAGATCAGGTGGGTCAAGCAGGATCTGCCTGTCACAAACCCTGGCTGGCTGGGCTGATGCCCTGGTTGTCCTGCATGTGTTCATGGTGGCACTCAAGAGGATCTTCTCCATGACCTTTCCTGATATCGAGGTCAGGATCTTCCTTCCAGCCCTTCTTACAGCAGTGCCACACTTCCCTTCACCTGGGACCTCCCTGGTGAGCCAGCAAGCTGGGAAATGATGGAAAGTGGCTCCATGAGCACTGCCACCAGCTCCCTCAGTACCCTTGGGTGGATCCCATCCAGCCCCATGGACTTCTGTGGGTCTAAGTTGCAAAGAAGTTCTCTGAGCATTCTCTCCTGGAATATGGGAGCTTCATTCAGGTCCCTGCCCCTGCCTTCCAGCTCAGGGGGCTGAAGACCAAAGCAGAGAAGATATTACATACCTCAGTCTTTTCGTTATGCTCTGTCACTTTATTGCCCCCAAACATAGGATAGAGATTCTCCTTGCCTTTCTTTTGCTGCTGATGTATTTTTAGAAACATTTTTCATTGTCTTTAACAGCAGTAGCCTAAGGTTCTAAAGTTCTTGCTGGGCTTTGGCCTCTTCTAATCTTCTCCCTGCATAACCTCACATTATTGCAGTCCTCCTGAGCTGCCTGCTCCTTCTTCCAAATTTAATAAACCCTCTTTTTCTCCCTGAGTTCCAGCCAAAGCTGTCTGTTCAGCCAGGCTGATCTTCACCACTGGCTTTGCTTTCAGTATATGGAGATGGCTTGCTCCTGTACTTTTACATTTTGATTTTCAATTAACTCGGGCTGTCTATAAACAAAATTACATGACAAATGTCCCCCACAAAGGCTCAAGCAACATTAGAGACTTGCATGCTCATACAACTAAACCAAAAAGGACCATACTTAATGTAGGTAATTCTAATGTGGTTTATTTTGATGTGACTAAATACATTTAAAGCTAAGTCACAACAAATATAGTTTACATATTATAAACAAGTAAGTTTAACCAAGCTAATCACATCCATGTAGCCCTTTGAGTTGTATGTAGAAGCTGAAAAGAAAAAAACTCTTTGCAGTAAAACAAAGAACTAGAGCATAACAGATAATGGTACTAAGACAGGTTCCAAAGCCAGGTCAATAAACAACTAAGAGACGTGGTACACAAACACCCATGAAGCAGCCAAAGTGCCAAAAACAGTGGTTGTGGGAATTAATGTAAACAACAAGGACAAAAAGCAACTGTTAGCAATGTTTCCACACAAGTGCAAAGAAAAGCAGACAGAGACAGTAAGAGTATGGGAGGACTGACATAAACTGAGAAAGAAGCAAGGGAGGCTTTTGCTGTACCCCAGTTTACCAGTTCAAAGCCCCCGAATTGCTGTGGAGCTGTTTCTGCACACCAGCCAGCAAGCTGAGAACCAGGAGGGACAATTTTGGCATAGGATAACTAGATAGAGGACATCTAGATCCTTGGATCCATTGTTTACTTGGCAAAGTGCATAACATTTATCTTGTTACAAGCTGAAACAACCTTAGAAGTCAGCTGCTAAGAAACTCCTGTGACAACATAACTATTCATTCTGATTTTGTGCATCTTATTTTCCTTCTCTGTCCCCACGTTTTCTAAAAAACAACAAACCAACTTAATGTCAATTTACCTGGATTCTATTGAAATCTTTAGTAGCTGTACAAACTGCACGCCTGCTTTCCTCTTCTTTTTTTTGCTCCTCCATAATCTTTCGGTCAAGTTCGACCCTGAACTTGTCATAAAGATCATCTAAATTAGATTCAAATGAAATTTAGTCAATATTCATGAACATGATGTGCCATATGAATTAATCAGGGGAAGAGGCAGGGGGAGCTACAGATACAGTAGGCTGAATATTTATTTCCAAATCCTACCCTCAAAGCTGTCCATCTTGGGATTTCAGGTGACTCATGGATCTATTACCTATCTTACCTGCCTGGTTAATATGCTACCTATTTTGTCTAAACAGTTTGTGTTAAAATGAAAGAAGTATGTTAAGTACTGCAGAAAATAATGTTTCATGACAAGCTGGGAAAGAAAAATCAGTATCATTTTTTCTGCTCTAGGACAGTATGGATTGGACAGTTTGGCCTGATGACCAACTGGTGGCATAAACCAGAAATGAAACCTGGGTAGTGTCACAATCACATGTTATGAAATAGAGATTTCCTAAGAGAAATAGTGAATACATTAGAGCTTATAAAGTAAAAACTGCTCTAGTATTTCTAGAAATTAAATATACAATAGGGTATACCATATTTTCATCAGATACATCACAACTTCAGTAAAAGAAGATTAAAACTACATTATCTTTTTTGTTACCTGCCAGTTTTTGGTCAGCTAATGCATTTTTCCAGTCTTTCTGTTGCTGAAGAGACCACTCCCTTAACTGCTCCTTTTGAAACTTCATCCTCTGATCATAGTTTAAGTCTTCACCCATAAACTTCTGCATGCCAGATATAGTACACCGAGGATCATCGTCTGAAACTCGAGCAGGTCTGTCTTTCTTTAGGGCTTGTGGATCATTCAGGTCAAATTCACGTCTTGTTTCCGGTTTCTGAAAATTCTTCTGAAATTCAACGAGAGCCCTGTTCAAGTCTTTGGTTTCGTTTTTCTGTCGTTCTTCCAACAGACACAAGAGCTTGTCGTTTTTCTTCATATAATGAGCTAGACAAATACGAACAGAACGAAACCACAACTCTTAGAGCACTGGAGTGCACACATAAGGTGAAAATAAAATTTTCAAGATGAATAAACAGAATAAAAGTCTTCAAACTGTTATGCCTTAGGAGAGTATTTGATCCATAAGTACCAGCCCAGAAAACACTCGAATATTAGTAATATTTACTTATGAGATATTTTCAGCTTTTTAGGTGTAAATTCTTTTATTAAAATTATGATGAAATATATGCATATGAAACAAATCATAAGTACTAGAAATATGAGGTTTAGTTTGGTGAAAACCTGCAGGAAGACAAGAAATGTACAGTAAACCAGTTGTTCCTATATACTATTAGTTTACAGCTACAGCTGAAATATATTGTTGCTTGTCAGGAAGAAAATCAAAATTGGGCTGCAACTGAAAGGAATATAGATAGATCTTCCACAGTTCCAATGATTTTTCTAACCATAGCACTAAAATCATTGGCTGGCAATAAGTTTTGAACAGCTTAAGAGTTCCTGCCCACTTAAGTGAAACTAAATAAACTACAGCATTTTTAAGAAAAAACAAACAACAAAACTTTTGCCAGACTCCACATTGCTGCTGGTAGTTTCCCAAGAGTCAGACCCTGACAGGTGTATTTTCTGGCCAGGAAAGTCACAAGCAGCTGTAGAAGCAGCACAGCATGGAAGCTGGCAGCTCCATTTTAGCTCCTCCTGAGGCACACAGAGAGCTCAAGCTGTGGGACCTTTTCACCTGATAGCACAGGAAAGCATGCCAAGCACAGAATACCACCAAGGGTTTGAGGTCAGGGCACAGCATGAAATATTTTTGTGGCTGTGAGTTCTGACTCAGCAATGGCTCCTCTTATTGCCTTACTATACATGACTCATTCTTCCAGCAACAACAATCTAGAGAGGATTGTACAGAATCTATACATTCTGTGGAAGAATGGCTAGACACAAGATGAGCTCACTCTACAAGAAAGCAACTAAAACAGATTAGCCACCACTATACTGAAAAGGACAGTGGTAAGTAATTTTTTTAAAAAATTCTGCTGCATATTCAGGTTTTTAAATTATGCTATTCATCAATACCTTTTAAAAGAAAACACTGAAAATTCTGGCCTATTAGGCAATGTATCCCAGTTTAATCATGTCAATATAAATCTTAAGATAGCAAGGAGAATACATACTGTGCAGTGTAGATATATGAATATAAATAGGACATAAACTGGATGACTGGATTTAGAGAATATATGAAGGGATAAAAGAAAGCAGGAAATGGTTTAAAACATTTAACTATTCACAGAAATATCACAGTATCTAGGAATATACCAAATCTTTCATGTTCTGCTTTTTCAGCTGCTTCTTGAATTTTCCTCTCCTTGACCTGTGCATCCAATGCATCTTTATCAATCTATTAAAATGAAAATAAAAAACAGTTCTTTAGGAGATACTGCGTTTGAACAATTAAAACAGCTATTGTCAGGCTACACTGACTCACAGTTGCACACAGTTGATATAACCCCACTAGCAACAGAATACATACACATTACTAAATGTAGGTGAAACAAAATCCAGAAACATTCTTGTTTGTTTGCTTTGTTTTAATAATGATAGGTATGCTCTTGCACCTAATCAGATGAAAACACCACATTTACATGATACATAGAGCTATAAATATTTTCAGCTGCGTTACACATACTATGTTTTCCCCATTACAGCTGGCAATTTTATTTTATTGTTCTGCTTTCATTTATAAGGCAGCTAAGTATTTTAACAGTAAAGATGGCAAGAAGTTGTAATAATCAATATTTGAAAAAAATACAAAGGGTTCACTATAAGAATGGAATGGAAACATCTTAGCAGAGAGATTCACATGGTTTCCAAAATCCTCTATAAGGTGAATGATCTGTGATGAGCTGACAGATATGGTACAGAACATCCACATCCATGTCAAGTGGGACTTGAGCAAAGGACAATATAGGGCACATCAACAAGTGGGAGCACACACCTCCATTTTAGGCAAAAGAATGTGACTCCATATTTGTTGGCAGATGGTGGCAAATTAATAGGCAGAAACGTGGATTTTACCTATTTTCTATTTTTTTACTATCAAGTCACTTCATGTCTTAAAAAATTTTGTCAAAAAATGCAATGACAAATCTTGAAGAATCTGGTAAACAATTTTAATAGTCTTTGTCTAAAACCTATTCAGATGAAAACAGAAACAGATCGTGGCTGAAAATACACATGGTTAGTGCTGTAATGGACAACTGACAATAGCAATCAGGCAAAGAGGTAAGTTTGTAAGTAAGGGTGAAACCATCAAGAATTCTATCCTCCAAAAACAATGGTGTTGTGGGCACTAAACATCAACTCTTTCAGAGATCTCATTAGGAAAGCCAAACCAACAATAAAACTACAGGAAATACTGCTAAGAGAAATTCAATACAAGTCCTTAGTATTGTGGCAATAATAGAGGTAGGTCAGTGAATCGACTTGTGTTACACTCTTGGCTCTGTCCTCTTCAAAACACTTCCACTCGACACAAAAACCAAAACCAGACATTCCCAGTCACATAAAACTACAGGTTTCACTTTGCAGTGCTTAAATAAGAAATCTGTGAATAGTTCGAGGCAGCTAATTCTAAACTGGTTCTATTTATGCATAAAGTTTACATGTAAATTGAAAGTAATATTTCATTTGGATTACTCATCTGAACTCTTTAGAAAAATCATGATTTACTGAGGATAAAATCTTCAATCTGTAACTGAAGAGGGTATTATCCTACATTTTCATTACTCAGATGACAAAACAGATGCAGAAGTCAAAGTAATAATAAAACTAGAAATAATCAAGGAAAAAAAATTCTGGGTTACCATTCTGCTTTCCAGTATATTACCTCCATGTTTTTAAAACATTCAAATCCTGCTTTAGGATTTCTGTTTTCTAAGTCAATACTGTCCTGATTTTTAAATTTTCTCAGCGACTGCCACTCAGGTAAACTGGTCAGAGAACAGAAGCAAAGACTCTTAAAACAACATGGAAATACTGATATAGAATATCCCTGTATGGATTTCCTGGCTCTTCACGGTTCAGACCTGGCCTAACTTCAAAGCATAAGACAGTCCCTTCTGTCAGCATAATTGTTCAGGTACATTGAATGATGTTAAATCAAAATAAACTGTTAATCAAAATTCTCCAGATGAGCTCTCCTTCATTTTAGATGTTTGTCTAACATAACAGATCTATCAAAACTGCCTGAGTCAGTTCTACAAAACAAGGCAAATCTACAGAAGTATTTGGGTAAAACCTTCGGATGGTGTACTACAGTATAGCTCAATAAAACACACCAGGATATATTAGTTGTCTGATATTTCATTAACTGAGAATTTATGGTTTTCACTTCATTTTTAAGGCTCTAGAAAAGCAAGTTTATAGAGAAAATACGTGTTTCTGATTAAGAAATTTCAAGTATCTTAACCCATCCCATAATTGCTAAAAAATGTTATTAGCTCCTTCCACTTAAGTATGTTGTTGGGCACTTAAGGATATTGTTATGTGTCAGGATGCTGTACCAAGTGGACACACTTGTCATGTTCAGTGAGTGGGAACTGCTAATTGCTCTGCACCCACAATGATTCTTGCATAAGAGTGACAAGAAAAAATTCAAGGCCCTGTTAGAGATAAGGTGAAGATATTTTTCCATTGAGTTATGTTTCTGTACCTAAGAAAAGAGGATCCAATTGACATCTCTTGCAATTCTACCAGTTCAATAAAACCACCTCACAGCACTCTTCCCTCTGTGCATGCTCATAAAATCCTAATGTGGGCCTTTGGAAATATCACAGGGAGATTCAATATACTATTGCATCCAAAGTCAAATAGGTATAGAGCACATTATTCCCTGACATTCAGGATGCAAACTGCATAGTAAACTCTGGAGAAAATCCACTACCCTGAAGGGTGTTCACATTTACACATCCACACCAAGAAAAATCAGACACAACAATTAATTACATATAAGTTAACAAGGATGGATCTGTCCTATTTTGTCTGATGCAAAATGCAGATTAATTGCAGGACACTTACAGCAGTAAATCTCTCACAGTATCAATTCTAGCGAGGTCCAAGCAGACAAGGACAGTATCACAGAGCACAGAGGTAAAAAACAATTGTTTCAGCCACATTACATGAGCTGACTCTGGAAGCTCTTGGCTTCCCTCAAAGTACTCCTACACAGAGATGCAACACAGGGCTTGATCTCTGTGCTGTTAGGGGACAATGACACCTTGCCCTTGAATCCAAAGCAGCGGGGCATAGGTACACACGAGAAGCAATGGCCATAAAGTAAAACACAGTAAGTTTTGCCTCAGTAGGAGGAAGAGCCTCTTTCCATGGAGGGTGGCAGTGCACCAAACAGCTGCCCAGGGAGGTCACGGAGTCTTTCCCCCTGAAGATATTCCAAACCCACCTGGACACGTCTCTGTGTCACTTGCTCTGGGTGACCCTGCCGTGGCGGGGAGGGGGGGCGAGGTTGGAGTGGATGATCTCCAGAGGTCCCTTCCAACCCTAAATACTCCGTGATTTCTTTCATCAGTAACTTTAAGCGCGACTCTAAAAGTTGCATCTGGACCCTCCCTTCCTGCTTGTTCCCCCTCACGCACACACCTGAGGAGGGCTCCCTGGTGTACCGCTCTCGGCCCGCCCAGGCCGGCTCAGCCGCCCCTTCCTTCCCTGCCCCACTGTAACTGGGGTTTACCCCCGCGTTCAGCCGTTCTCCTCAGAACTCCGGGGAGCGGCGCGGGGCACGGCGCCTTCCCTCCCTTCCTGCCCGCCCTCACCCCTATGGTGCGGATCCGTGCGTTGAAGATGCGGTCCCGCCGCAGCAGCTCCCGCCGCCGCCGGCGCTCCAGGGCGGCGGCCTCCTCCAGGTCCCGCTGCGGCCCCAGCCCGCTCATGGCGCCAGGAGCGAACAGCGGGACGGCGGGGCTGGAGTGAGAGCAGCGGCCGGGAGTAGGGGCAGCGTCCAGCCGGAACACACCGCGGCCCGTGGCGATGGGAACGGGAGCGGCAGTAGCAAGCCGGGACACAAGGCGGCCCGTCGCGATGGGAACAGGAGCTAGGGGGGGCCAGCCGGGACACACCGCGGCCCGTGGCGATGGGAACGGGAGCGGCAGTGGCCAGCCGGGACAGACCGCGGCCTGTGGCGATGGGAGCGGCAGTGGCCAGCCGGGACAGACCGCGGCCCGTGGCGATGGGAACGGGAGCGGCAGTGGCCAGCCGGGACACACCGCGGCCTGTGGCGATGGGAACGGGAGCGGCAGTGGCCAGCCGGGATACACCGCGGCCCGTCGCGATGCACGGCGGGGCGGGGCCGCTGCACGAGGCGCGCAGGCTGTGAGGGCAGGGCAGGGCGGGGCGGGGTTGTCCGTCATTTTGAGGCGATAAAATTGTGGGACGGAGGTGTCGGTTTGGGTTGTCTTTCTGTCAGTGAATGTACTGGTGAAGTATCGTCGTCGACTTTTTGAGGGGGTTGAGGCGCGGAGCTCAGGAGCTCCTGCTCTCCGCGGGGATGGGTTACCTGAAGCTCTTGGTGATGAAGGACTTTAAGTCATGGAGGGGACAGCAGGTTATTGGCCCCTTCATGAGGTTCAACTGCATCATCGGGCCCAATGGATCAGGTAGTGTGGGCGGGGGGGCAACTGCTCCGTGAGGTGTCGACATTGAGGGCTCAGTTTGGTGGGATCTAGCCTCACGGACCTGCTGAAAATTCCATGTGCATCTGAAGGGGTGGCAGCGCCAATGAAGCCTTGGAGGCACCTGCTCTGTGATTCTTAGCTGAAAATGTACGTTTTTACCATATAGAAGGGCAGGAACAGGCTGGAGGGGGAGAGGGAGTTAATGGAATTTTAATTTCGAGTTTATTTGGTGCTTTCCAGCTTACGCAGAAAGCCTAGTTTGCGAACAGCACACCTTGTCTTGGCCACCCCAGCTTGCAGAGATCACATAAAGATGGTTTTATTTTAATACTATGGACTGTGCCAGTGGAACCCTGCTTCTTGATGGCAGTCTGGGTTTTGCTACGCTGCCTCAGGGAAGGGGAGGGCGGCGGTGCGGAATGGCGGCTCCTGGGACGTCGGGCTCGCACAGCGGGGCTTTGGAGGTGCAGCCCTCGTCGTGATCCCGACGTGCTGGAGCTCCTTAAAATTTGATCTCTGCTTCAGAAAGCTCCGTTCAACAAAGGGGGTTTTATGTCTGTTTGTCAAAGTGATAGGAGGTGCGGGATGTTCTGAACAGAGCAACAAGGATGAGTTTAATATTTTGCTTTATTTTCCCCAGTCTGTTAATGATTTAATTTATAATTCGGATTTTTAGACTCTGTAGTTTCCTCACTTACCTGATTGAAGTAAGATCTATGAATGTAAGTTGAATATATTGAGCACTGTTCCCATACTCCTTTTTGTCCTATCCCCATTCTCCTGTATTGTAAAGTTTCAGAATTATGATACTTTTTCTAAGTGCCACTATCTCACCACCCTTACAGGGAAGAACATCTTCCTAAAATAATAAAAAATACATAATTAGAAATAAGATTTTAAAAGAATTCGCCAATGCTCCAGATTCTTTAATTTTTAATAAAATGCTTCCATTTATGTAATGTCAAAATTTCTTGGTTTTTTTTCTTTTTTTTTTTACTTTTTAAGGAAAATCGAACATAATGGATGCTGTTAGTTTTGTGATGTGTGAAAAGACATCAAATTTGCGAGTTAAAAGTGTTCGAGAACTTATTCATGGAGCACATGTTGGAAAACCTGTTTCTTCTACAGCTAGTGTGAAGATAGTATATTGTGAGGAAGATGGGGAAGAAAAAACATTTTCAAGAGTTATCCGTGGTAGGAAGTAGATTCTGTTGCATGTATTATCTATTGTCTGATGTATAAAGAAATGGAGACCAAAACAACCCACTTGGAATTTCAGATGCCCATATTAGTTCATAGTCGGGCAGATTAGTGCAGTCTTTCAGATAGCATTTTGGTGGTGATATAAATGAAAAAAAATTTTGGGTTAATTAGTTTTAGAATTACACAAGTTATTGCTTGTTCTTTGCTCAATATCTGTCTCTACGTATTTCCTTGGGATCTGTAGATGATGATTTTCTCTAGGAAATGAGGTCTGACGCCTTGCTCCAGGCGTGAGCACCTTAAGTGTGTCAGTTCCTCTAGAAAGTACTAAAATTAGAAACTAGAGTTTTCAAACACAAAAAAATAAGTTACTGAAAGTATTACATGAGTAATTGTAATCTATGTTCTTCTTTGAGAAAATTGCTCAGTTAAATTATTCCACTAGTTTAATTCTTTTCTGACAATTTTTTTGTTGTAGCCATTTTCAGCAGTAATTTTTTTTCCCTTTCCTCTCTTAGGTAGTTGTTCTGAGTATCTTTTCAATGACAGGTCTGTCAGCCGATCTGCATACATATCTGAGCTTGAAAAAATAGGCATTCTTGTCAAGGCCAGGAATTGCCTTATTTTTCAGGTGAGCATTTAAGGTACTTTCAAAAGAAAACAAAAGGTTCTTAGGTTATTTCATAGAGTACACAGTTGAGTATTGTCTACAAATGAGAGCACCCTTAGCCAACTAAAAGGCAACTGATTTTTTCCTGACCTTGCCACGAACTATCAGACTACAAAATACACTTAATGGGGTTTGTATGTACATTCATATGCTAGTAAGAAAGAAGTTAATCTGGAAGAAGTTGAGTGCTTCTGTTATTCACTATATATAAAAAAGTACGGGTCTGTATAAATGCATAGTGTATTTAATTGTAGGAGTGCTAGGAAAAAGTAATTTCATCCTAAAACATCCTGTTAGTAAACATCCTGTTAGTAAAGACCTATGAAAATGTAAAGGATTTTTTTGTAAAGATTGAGGAGTTGAAAATTCTATTCAGGTATTAGTTTCCAAGAATTTAATGACATAGGCCTTAAGCTTTTGATGAATGATACAAATTTCACAAAATCATTTTCCTTAGAGTTGCTCACAAAAATTCCTAAGGAAGAATGGATTTTTCCCTCTTGCAGAAACATTTATAGAAACCTGAGTGGCTAAGTGATCCTCATTTTGGAACTAAATTTTTCCTTGGATTTGAATCTAGATGCATTTTCACCAACTGTGCTCACTGTAAATATATACAGAGGTCAATCTGTACTACATGCTCTTAAATTCATAAGGCATCAGAATGAGCTACAGTGCTGTATAATTTATTTCTTTTCAATATTGCTTTAGGGAACAGTAGAATCAATTGCAATGAAGAAGCCGAAGGAGAGAACTCAACTTTTTGAACAAATTAGTAGTTCATGGGAATATGCTGAAGACTATGAACAAAAAAAGAAGAAAATGCAGCAAGCAGAAGAGAATGCACAGTTTAATTATAACAAGAAAAAGGGTGTTGCAGCAGAACGCAAACAAGCAAAGATGGAAAAAGAGGAGGTAACTTCAAATTATTCAGTTTTTTTCATGTTAAGTTGCCAGATTTGGCATCTCATGTGAACTTCAATAGTGTTTAAAAAAGCACAACAAACCAACAAAAACCCACAAATTTCTCTTGGTTTTAGTCTGGTAGTTTTTTCAGTATACTATATAATAATTTAGTATCGTTTGAAAAGGTTGATAAATACGTGTAATCTAAATGAAAGTAAGTATAGGCTTGCCAGTATAATTAATTACGTATTGACTTAAATATATGAATTTTATGATTAGTGACCATTACTGGAATTACAGCTACTTGTATGTCATCCTACATGACTTTGGCCTTGAAATTAGATAGCTATTGATGGAAAATAGTTTTTATAAATTAAATTTTAATGTTGGTAGGCAGAGCATTACCAGATGCTAATCAAGGAACTGGATGAAGAAAGGATACAGCTGCAGCTTTTTCAGCTTTATCACAATGAAAAACAAATTGACTTTCTGAAAAACAGTTTGGATGAAAAGAATATGGAAGCTTATATCAAGAAGGAGTCTCTTTCTACAGCAGAAGAATCTTTTAAAGCCAAGAAAAGAATGTTTGGGATACTAAACAGAGACCAACAGCATATGGAAAAAGAAATGAAGTAGGTTTTCCAATCAGAGTCTGTGATAGTTGAATAAAGTGCTTTCTGCACTGGGAGTTGCTTGGCAGGTGGCTTTGCATCAGGCTTGGCATTTCTTGGTAAAAATTTGGGTGATAGCCCAGTGCTATGGAAGTCAGTTCCTAGCAGTTCACTGAACTAAAATCCAGAGGTGGTTTTTACCTCCTCTACTGTGCCTAGATACATACTTCATTGTATAAATACTTGCTTGCTATTACATTTTAGTTTTGCTTCTTAAATTACTATTTTGAGTGGATATCTAAAAAAAATCCTCTGCGGGCATACCCACAGTGTAGGTCTCAACCTTACCGTTTCAAAACTGATTGTTTGCATATGTGGTCAGTGGAGGGGAGAGGGGGATGTCTTTTCTATCTTCCCTCTCTCACTTTTTCTTGTGACTTTGTTGTTTTGGCTATTTCTTGTTGGGGTTGGTTGTTTTGGGTTTGTTTCTGGTTTTGTTTTTTAGGACTCTGGAAGCATCACTGGTTCAGAAGAGACCCCTCTATATAAAAGCAAAGGAAAACACATCCTACCAAATAAAGAAAGTAGAAATGTCTAAAAAGTCTCTAAGGGACAAGGAGAAATTGTGTGATAAGGAAAAGCAGAACATAAAAGAACTAGAGATAGAATTGAATGAAATTGAGAAGGCATGGAGAGCATTTGAGGAGAAAACTGAAGAAGAGAGAAGGCAGAGAGCAGCAGATATTGAGCTGGGAGACAGTCAGGTGAACCAACAGGCCCCAAAGTACTGTTTACTAGAGAAGTCCAAAAATACTGCTGATTATATGGAAACCGTTATTTCAACAATGACTTGTGATTCTTAGTGATCT